ACTTCTGGAGGCAAGTTGTCCCACTGGTTAATTGTCCTCACTGTTAGGAAGATTCTCCTTAGTTCTAGGTTGCTTCTCTCCTTGTTTAGTTTCTACCCATTGCTTCTTTGTTGCACCTCAGGTGCTTTGGAGAATAGCTTGACTCCCTCTTCTTTGTGGCAACCCCTGAGATATTGGAACACTGCTATCATGTCACCCCTAGTCCTTCTTCTCATCAAATTAGACATACCCAATTAAACAAGACATACCCAATTCCAGCAACTGTTCTTTATATGTTTTATCCTCCAGTCCCCTAATCACCTTCTCTGCTCTTCTCTGCACTCTTTCTCAATAATGATCTGAATTGAGCCAAACTTTCTCACTTACCTCAGCACCATTGGTTCTAACGCCTGAGAAGCCAACCTTTCAAACATCCTTTGGAGAGGGGGATGCAAAGAGTGGTCCTCATCCGTAAGAGCAGCGCTGCATTTCTGCAGAAGCCGAGCATGGAGCCCGCCTTCACACATAACTTGTTGATTCCTTTCAGTGTGTACAAGAGATTGCAAGATGTTGGCCACTGCAAGCTGGAGATCCAGGGCATGCTACAAACACAGAAAAGCAAAAACACTGTATTTGAATACCTTCCTGCATATTATTCTAAACCAGCGGTGTCGAACCCAAGGCCCGGAGGCCGGATCCGGCCCAGGGAGTGCTTAGATCTGGCCCGCAGGGACGCCCTGGAAAAAGCGAAGGACTGGCCTGCAATGTCTCTGCCAGCTAAAATGGAGCTTGAGAGGCCCGTGTGTTGCCCTCCTAGGCTCCATTTTTGGTCGTGACATCCTCCTACAACCCTCTGCCAGCGAAAATGGAGTTCTGGGGGGGTGGGGGTGTTGCGTGTATGTCCCCAAGCTCTGCTTTCGCTGGCAGAGGGCTAGCAAAACAAACTCAAAACAAAACCAAAGGAGAAATGTTTCCCCTTTTGCATTTGAGCATCTAAGAAGGGACAAGAAAGGAGAAAGGGAAAGAGGAAAGACAAAGAAAAAGAAGGAAAGGTGTGAAGAGAGCAAGGAAGGAAAAATAAGGAAAGAAGGGAAGGAAGATGAAAGGAGAATGAAGAGGGAAGGAAAACAAAGAAAACGAAGGAAGGACGGAAGGACGGAAGGAAGGAAGGAAGGAAGGTTATTATGAGAGTGAGGCAGGGTCTGAGGAAAGTCCTGCCTTAGCACTTGGCCACCACAGGTGTCCCTGACACGAGTGACGTCAAGCTGGCCATGCCCATCCTGGCCACGCCCACCCCAGGCCCCTGAGGTCAAACACAATCCTGATGTGGCCCTCAATGATTTTGACACTCCTTTTCTAAACTGTACATTCTTACTCAAACAATAGATGTAGATCAGAAATGGGAATTTTATGCCGCTTACCAGCCATGACATTGGCTCCGAGTAACACAGGTAAACTCAGATTCCTAACGCATACTGAAAATACATAGGACAACACCTGGAAGGAGATGTTTTGGGGGAAACAATAGGGTAATTATTTTTTTTCCCTCTGAGCTTCCTGCCATTGTGTAAACATGTTGTTCCAGGTGCCAAGCAAAATACAAACATTTTTTCAATAAACTGAACTAGTAGTGTTATCAGATTCCAGACAGTAGATATGTCCTAAGATTTAAGTTCACTATGTTTATAGTACTTTTTCTCAACCTTGGCCACTTTAACATGTGTGGACTTCAATTCGTATCATGCTGGCTGGGGAATTCTAGGGAGTTGGAGTCCACACATCTGAAAATCATCAAGGTTGAGAAACCCTGGTTTATAGAAATTACTAGCTGGATACCTGTGCTCCGCTACTAAACTATGTGATTGGGCTTGATAAATTGACACTTACAGCTTGAAAATTAATGAATAGTTACGATCGGCCTCTCCTGTCCTCTTCTCTCCCTCAGGCTTGCCCCACTGATCCTCTCCCCTTCTCTCCCTCAGGCTTGTCCCACAGAAGCCTCTCCTATCTTATCCTCTTTTCTCCCTCAGACTGGACCCATTGATCCTCTCCTAACCCCTTCTCTACCTCAGGCTTGCACCAGAGGCCTCTCCTATCTTATCCCCTTCTCTCCCTCAGGCTGGCCCCATTGTCTAAACTCCCAGCCCACAGGCCGGATGAGTCATGTACTGGCCACACCAACACCCAAGTGGCAGTTGGAACAGAATTCTTTTCAAGTGGGGAGGGGGAGTAGAACATCTAACTCCTTAGCATCAGAGTGTGTTAATCTATCTGTCTGTCTGTCTATCTGTAGCTATATCTATATCTATACACACACACACACACATATTGTAAAAGAAATACTAATGATCTGATGGTCATTTCGAAAAATCCTTTCTTAGCAAGCACCTAGAAGCCAAGAGGAACATACATGTCAAATTTCAAGTTTATAGGCTTTACAGTTCTGGAGATTTTGTGATGACGCATGAGTGGTATTTCGCTTTTATATATATAGATTGGAATGATATACAATGAAGCAATATAAGACTCTCACTTCTGGCTGTGTGGTTGACCCAACAGAGACCACAAGATCCAGCATAGCCAGCATAGCTCCCGGATGGATAATAACGGCATCCAGATTTTGCAATAGTATCGTTCCTTTGTGTAACTTTGCATCAGTGGCATTTTTGGAAGGAAACACTGAAGATGCTGCTGACACTGAATGATATGCATGTCTAAAGGCGGGAAGGAAAAATGACAGCATTACACTCTTATCCAAAGAGTTGAATTAAGTACTGAATATTTCAGGTTCAAATAATCATACATTTCATCTCTTAATAGGCAATTAATAGCAAATACAATATTACAAATACCTTATTTTTTTCTTTTCCATACTAACTTGCTCTTTCTCTTATTTTTACAAGCATCACATTTTTTCCAGAAGATATTTTTGCACTAATAATTATATGTCAAATAGTCCAGATGAGCTATATACTGTCTGATAACAAGACAACTTCTCATCTCAAAATCATCCAGGTCATGGTTCTCCCAAAATGTTTTCCAAAAGGCAACTGGACTTAAAATGTTTCACTTCTCATCCAAGAAATCCAGAACTGAAGAAGCTTCTTGGATGAGAAGCAAAGTGTTTTCAGAGAAAAAAGAAAAAGAAAGTCCAGTGGCCTTTTGGAACAGGAAGAATTTTGTCTTTCATCAATCTGGATTGAAAAGGAATCTTGCATATCATTCCCATACTCTGCAGTATATTCTGAACACAACACATATACAGGTAGTCCTCGACTTACAACCATTTGTTTAGGGACCATTCAATGTTACAACAACACTGAAAAAAGTGACTTATGACAGTTTTTCACACTTACAACCGTTGCAACAATCCCCGTGATCCTGTGATCAAAATTCAGGTGATAACCGACATGTAGGGTTTTTTTGTACGTTGTATTGACTTATATTCCCTTCACTTATATGTGTATGTGTGTATGTTCCAGCATAACTCCGGAACGTCACGAGTAATTTCAACCAAACGTGGAACACAGATGACTTACTCTCTGGAAAAAAATACTGTGGGAGTAACACACCCCTAACACCTCGTGTGTGTGTGTGTGTGTGTGTGTGTGTGTGTGTTCTGTTAAGAAACAGTCTGTTGTGCCTTCAAATGGCTTCTACTGTACAGCACTGTGGAGTTGCCATGGTAACAGCTTCACAGTACTCCACAAGGGGGCTCCCTCTGGTAAGGGGGAAAATTCAACATTAGAAGTTACGTTTGGTCTGGACATTTTCCCCTTATAAATAAATACCTGGGCAACGCCGGGTTATTGGCTATTTCTTAATAAAATAATTGGGGGGTGGGAAATATCATGGATATTCAAGAAAAGGAACAAATGGATCAATGAACAATGAACCCAGAATTCTCACTCAAAGCACAAACAACGAGGCTAAAATTAACTTAGGATGTGCACGCCTAGTTGTCTGGAGAAGGCTCTAATAATCGGAATGGTGGGAAACTTCTGGCAGTCAGCAGAAATAGTCTGCAGTTCTGCATTCTAACCACTGCGCCACCAGGGCTCTTAAATACCAATTAGGGAAAAATATGCATAAATGGCCAGAGATAAGAGGAAGCAAATAGGCCTAGGGGCTGTTCAATGTTCTGGATGAGTATAACACAAAATAACACAAACGGTTTGCTCTGTGGTGTGCATCCATATCCTGCTGACTAAGGGCAATGTACATCTTACGTTTAAGATCAAAGCTCTATGGTTGACTGGCAGTGCATCCCTTGTCCAACAACTAGCATCCTCAAGAACGTGGGTCTTTCTAAGGTGAATGACACAGTGACATTGTATTACTCACATCTACATGCGAACTTGATGCAGCAACTCATCTTCAGCAAGATGAAATTCCTCTGTGGGATTTTGCACTGAAGGAAGACTGAAGAATCTTATCCCACCATTTCACTATCAACTACTGGCTCACTTGAAGCCAATGGTGACAGGGGAATGCTTACCCTCTGACATTACAATAACTTGCTTGTTATTCCCTTGAGTTAGACTCAGTGGTGGGTTCTGGATCCTGTTCCAACCGGTACGGTTAGAACAGGCCCAGCGGCGTCCACATGGACGTGCGCAGCATGCAAATGCATCTTAGTGCCTCCACAACACTCCAGCTGCTCCACGGAGCATCGCGCAGGTGCTGTATGCTCCATTTGCATGTGCGGAAGCCTTAAAAGACACATAAGGAGCTTTGGTGGGAGGCTGGGCCCACCGGAGCACCATACCGGAATGGTATCCGGTGCTCCGGCCAGGGTCCGGTACTCCTGTACCAGGGCGTACTGCCTGCAACCCATCACTGGTTAGACTGGAATAAGTAGGTGAAGAAAAATCTAGCCAACAGATTACTCGTGTCCTCTTACTGGCAAGTAGCAGTAAGTATTGACTATCACTCAGGGGTGGGTTCTGGCTTCTGCTACTGCCAGTTTGCTCGGGGCTGCGTTTCGGGTGCGTACACGCTTGATGCATGCTACGTGTCTATGCACAGTAGTAAAAAAATGCTTATGCGCATGCGCAGAAGCAAAAAGCAAGATGGCAGTGCCTATGGTGCTGACGATAGAACTGGTTCGGGGGCGTGGCAGGCTGAGTTACTACCTACTCGGGCGAACTGGTCCAAACCAGTAGGAACCTACCTGTTCTATCACTGCATCTACTCTTTCAGCTGTTAGGTTAAAAGCAAGCGTATTTTCTGAGTTTCTGTCATTTCTATGGTCAAGTCTCTTGCCCTGTTTGGTCACATGTTGAGTTTAATGCACTGGAAATAGTACTAAATAATACAAGCCAGTGGGTTGCCAACACAAATAGAAATATTTATGAAAAAGGGGATTCTCTATTGGAGACGGCTGCTGGATTGATGGCAGACTCTGTCTTCCCGCCCTCCAAGGTCTAGTTGGTTATCATACAGTATTGGCGGTATTTTCAAGTTCTATTCCTTTTTCATTGTTTGTTTTGTGGGTTCTGTTATTTTAGTTCTGTTTCTGTTCTCCTTTCATCTCTCCCTCTTTTTTATTGTAAGCTACCTAGACTGCAAATAAATTTAACAAATAAAATGATAAATAACACGTTTCATTAAGGATGTTTCTGTACACTCAATGGTCAAAACAATACTATCTCTATTTCTTTAACTCACTTTTTAAAAGCAACAGGTGACATCTGAAGTCTTTTATTTATTTATTTATTTATTTATTTAAATAACTCATTAAGGATTTGTTGAAAATCTTTCTGGCTTGGTCTACCCCAGTGGTTCCCAAACTTGGCAACTTTAAGACTTGTGGACTTCAACTCCCAGAATTCTCCAGCTAGCTCTTCTGGCTGGAGAACTCTGGGAGTTGAACTCCACAAGTCTTAAAGTTGCCAAGTTTGGGAACCACTGGGGTAGACCAAGCCAGAAAGATTTTCAACAAATCCTTAATGAGTTATTTAAATAAATAAATAAATAAATAAATAAAT